TAATTTTATACTAGATATATTGTTTATAATATATTACTTATAACTTCTACATTACATATATATTACATAAATATATTTTCAGATTGGTTTCAAATTTTACCAATATAATTATAATACTTGTCTCTCATTACTAATATTTCGAAATATTTTATATAACATGTACACACACCAGTATTCGAATATTTTAGTTATCTGTTTCAATAATTAAATGTAATTTCATTATTATCAATTAATTTATCATGTATTAGTAATTTTATATTAATATTATAACAAGTTTACATCGTAAGAAAAATAAATTTAACAAAAAGTTTAGTTTTTAGTAAGTTTTTAAAGTTTAACAAAAAGTATATCGCAAGAAAAATAAATTTAACAAAAATTTAACAACAAACGGAAAGTATTTGTCTTTCGTAAAAACATAATCATATCTCCACTACAATATATGCAAAGAAATGAACAAGTCATGGAACGTCGCGTCGGGTCAGAATTACCGTTTCAATGCCATCGATCGATTTCAAAGACAATATCGCACCGAGGAATTCTTCGCGCGATGCGCGATTTTACAGAAGATTTTACAACCACACAGGTAAAAGGAAAGACACAAGCAAAACGGCGAAGCAGGTGCAAGCGAGGTGCATGCACCCGATGATCGTTCATTTGAGAGATTCTAAGGAAGATAGTTGGGGTCATGGGTGCTTCAAGAAAATGTCACGTCAGTGATACAGACTTTGAATGTTCCTGTAGTCCACGGTCGCGTTCGATCACCTTTCAAACGATCTCCAAACACGAACCACCGGTTTTTCGAGACGATTGTCACTTTTAAATCAAAATCTACGGAGTACTCTTTCACCAGGGATTACGATAAATACATTATCGTGCGTTTGGAGTGTTTGGAGAGTTGGTGTATTTAGAGAGTTCTAAATTATTGCAAAATAGAATTCAAATGAATCTCCCTGATTTAAAGTTACTATTAGTAAAATAGCTAATTTAGACTATTATATATGCGGTTTATTTTGAAAGTATCATAAGTCACAGTGTTTTTAAATCGAGATATTTAAAGATCTGCGTTTTAACGAGCTCGTCATTCCGTTACTTATCTAATCTTCTACCAACAAAATCTCAGTGGTTTCTAACATATTGACTGCAAAATGAAAAGATCGCGTAAAGAATGGTAATTAATTCAATCACTAACTCTAATGACTTATGTTATTTTCAAAATAATGGCTCATATAACTGAAAACAGACAAAGATTAATTTTGCAGAGGAATTTTAATTAAATGACTCTAATCTTCGTCCGTTCTTTATCAATTTAATACAGATTTCTTATAAAATGTATAAAATAGTATGTAAGATCATGACGTAAAATTCAAAATTAAAAACATCTCTATACGTATAAATCTATAAATAGAAATTTAGTTTATTTATTATCAATAAGAAAGTAATAGTAGAAAACGGCTGAAGATTAATTTTGTATAGACATTTCAATTAAGTGGCGTCAATTATATTTGTTGAAATATTAGAAGAATTGGAATATGTGTTTTTGTTACATTTAAAGAGTTTATACAAATTTTATAAAGTATCAGCTACTCGTTAGAAATGAAACAGAATTTAAATAATACAGGTATAGTCTTCGTTTCAAATTAAATTTAGCAGAACATTTAATCTCGGTTATAGTATCATAAATATATAGAGAATTAATAGTAGGAGAATATTTGTCAATCATAGTTATGGAAACGAAACAAAAATTTCAACCTTTTATCCAATTATTTATGCACGATAGTATATTATTTCTAAACTGATAAATGAGAACGTTTGTTGTTATTAGACTGTGAACACTTATTTATTCATTTTTATTTTTTTATGAACATGACTAAAAAAAATGGAATTAAATAATAGTATTATAATAGAATAACCAATACTAATAATTATATATTGTAATACTCTTTAATATATTTTTAATATCTTATTTTACTATAATAAACGTTTATTATTTTATTTATTAAAATTATTAATACTTCAATATGTAGCAAACTATAATAGACGTTAAATATTAATATTATTGGTATTTACAAATAATACTACATTACTAACAGGGAAATTAATTTTTGTTCATACGAAAATTACTCAAGATTTGTTATAAGGCAACGAAATATGTACATCGTTATGCCCGATAAAGAATGTTAATAATAATAATTGCAATACCAATTATAAATAAAACTAAAAATTATGATACTCTGCTTTGATAATTCATATACTTTTGCATGTTATATACCTACATGGATAGTAATATATTTACCTATTTAAATATAATCCATTTAATAAATGTACAATCTTTTTTTAAAATCATCATCTTCATATAGTAAATGAAAGTTATAAAAGTTCAAGCAATAATGTTAAATTTTTACTAAATGATTAATTGATCAAATTGTTTCATTTAGATTTCCCAATTGAGAAACTGAAAACACCTGTCGTTATTTAATAAATGCATGATCTAAATATACAACGTTTCTTGTTATTTAATAATTTTTTATTACAAATAATTAAATTCCAACTATGAACAATCGATCAAATTGTTTCGCTTAGATATGATCAAACTTTCAGTTTCTTTTAAAATGTTTCAAATAGGTAATAGATGCTGAAGCTTGACCTTTATTGATATTAAGTACAAAAGGTACGTTAGTCATGGAGGTTGATTCAAAACGTGCGACCTAATTTTCAGATTACAATCTGTCCAACAAATTTGTTGAAAGTTGCCTTTAGGTTTTTTTCGAAATCTACTTATATATTCCATGCTCGTAATTCGTGCGTGAACGACTCAGTACACTTTCTATTCACGATGAATTCTTCCGCTCTAGCAGCTTATGAGTCACGCCATTATTGCTCAGCATTCATAAGAGTCGTATGAACGAAACAATATGAAAAAGTCAACTTGTCACAACGTTCAACCATGTAATTATATCTCATACGATTTCAGCTTGTATAAAATTATATTACATATAGTCACAGATAGTTTCAAATATTTAATATCTAATATTTAGAAAAGGAATGATTTTGGACATTTCATGAATCTTAATTAATTCGTTAGTTACAACAGATAGATCATTTCAGAAATATCACAATGTTTCTTATATTTATTTAAAAGAATCCATAAATAAATAAATTCAAAGTACGATCATATTTATGCAACTACTAATACATGTAATAACACAATTACTATATGATAAAATTACTATATGTAATAATATTACTATATGATGTAGTAAAATGAACAAAATTTTTATTCTGATTATAATTATAATAATAACAAAAATACCTTTTATATTAATATATTTATGATAATTGTATTGATGATAGATTTTGTTATTCTTTGTTTATTTATATTTGTTTACTCATAAAAAATTTCATCATCGTTTAGTTTAAAATCTTTGTTCTTTAATATTTGAAAAAATGTTAAAAGATAGTTATTTTCAGCCTGGAAATGAAATAGTCATACCGAACGTTCAAAAATGTTCCTTCTTAGGAACAAAACTTTCTCTAAAAATGATGAGAAATTTATTAAAAATATATTGATAAATATATAGACTTTCGTGATTACTTATATATATTATTACATACAGTAACTTTTATTAATATTCGAACTAAATATTTAAACTGTTACAATTTCGTTAAAAAAATCCTATAAACTTGGATTTGTTTTAAAGCCTCTTTCAAAACGTACTATTCATTTTATTTTAAGATGTTTTTACATCATGTAGCAGGTTTTTCTTTCAAAAATGTTATAAATAGTTATGAAAACACAAAAAACTTTTTTATCTGAATCCTCCACTTTATAATGACTCCCTACAACTTGATGTACGATTTTTTTCGTCATTTTATTGAACTTTGAACATTAAGTGTGAAAATGATATGTATATAGAAAAAAGAAAACATCATTATGCAATATACTGCTGAATTTATTAAATACTTTTTTAGTAATCTTAATGTGTGTCACATTATTAAAAGTGCATACATTATATGTATGTATTTAAAACTTAATCTTTTATTTTATTTAAATTTTTTATTTTAATCCTTTAGTATGTAAAATTTTTTATTATAAATGGAAGTTTGATGACAACAAATTGAAGGCCAAATAATTAATATAAGGTTAAAATAACTGTTGATTAAAAAATATATTTCATCCAAGATAAAATGAAGCACCGTCATATTCGTTACTAATTATTATAGATAATTATATAAAAAATATACAACTGATAACGTAGTATTATATTTAGAGAATTAAATATATAGCTTACATTATTTGTTTAGAAATAGAAATTTCTCCAAATTATCATTTGTTTATCAGTCAATAATAGATTTTCTGTTCATGTTAGTTTATTTGAAATATTCTTTTTCTTTGCTAAATTACCATAAATAATGTAAGTACAAATAATTATAAATAATTAATGGACTTTAATAGTGTAGCTGTTACAAAATATATAACTTTAATATTTTAATTGCAGTATAAAGTGATATGTAAAGTACCATTGTTTAGCTACTGTAATTCATATGTTTGCTTATATCTTAATTTGTATTTGAATTTCTTATTAAAACCTGTATGATATGTTTAAAAGCTTTATTTAAACTACGAAGTTATGTCACTTGATCAATTGAAAAAAATTTGCAGAGAGGTTTGAAGAATTTACACAATAATTAAAGAAGAGAAAGCCAAATTACACATGACCTCATTAACGTCATGTCTGAAACGTCAGAAATTTTTTGCAACGAAATTTTGTAAGTGTAAGTAGTAGGATACCTTTCAAATTGAAGCATAAAATACTATAAAACTAATAACGTAAAATATTATGAATAATTTAACAGAGGTCACAGAAATTAAAAGAAGTTTACAGAATTGTTAAAATTTATTATAATTGTTGTACCTAGAAAATGAAGACATTCTTCAAACATTGCATGCAAAAATGATCGTATATCATATTTATATATCATAATTTTGTTCATAAACTTACCGGTATCTGTACAAATGTGCCATTATTTAATTGCGGATAAGAATACAGTGGCACTACGGGGACTGAGCCATTTTTCAAAAAGATTGGACCTTGAATTGGCGTTACGTGAGCGTCCCTTGGTATTTCTGGATCTTTGTCGTCGTAGTAATCATCGAAGTCGTCATCATAGTCTAAAACAGCGTGAATTGAAGTTTTTGTACCAGGTCCACTTTCACCGTTAACTCTCGTATACCTTTAACAAAATGAAATAAATTGAATAACAAACTACCTTATATTTTCATCAAATTATAATTCAATCATCTCGTAATTAATATGTTACTTCTGAGAATCAACAATGCGAGCTGCTATCATTGAAAAGTTGAAAAAGAAGATAACGAAGTGTAAAAATACAGGGAGATTCATCAAATGTTCATTTATTTTTATCTAGTATATTATTATAGTCAATTTATTTTTATCTAGTATACAAATACAAACGATCGATTGTTTATGAGATATAGGAATTTTAAGTAATTTCACGGTAATAGCAATCTTGAAAAAGTTTTTAGAAATCATTTTAATTTTCAATTATATTTTTCTCATAATATATAAAAGTTGATATCTGATGCCTCTAACATAGAAAGCAAATTAGCATTTTGAAATGATTTTAATACGTTAGCATGTTTGATAATTGTTTTAGAAATTCTTCTAATTAATAAATTTTCAATTAACTGTCAATTCATATTTTTTCCCTATAACATGGCCAATATAATTAATAAATTAGAATAAAAGAAGTGAATTTTAAATAATTTTCTCACATTAACAAGTTTGACTAAAATTTTCAGTTAACTTTCAATCATATTTTTTCATTTCATAATATACAATTTAAAATATAAAACAAAGCATTTTGAAGTATCACCTCTCTAACAATACAAAATTGATATCGAAATATTATTTTTGATTTTTGTAATCAACTCGTTTCGTGTAAATGCTTCTGTATCGTACATTTTCAGTTTCAAAGATAATTAATATATTTTTTTTTTAAGTTAAAATCTAGAATTTAAGAGCTGGAAGATCGAAAGATTGGTCCTTCTCGTGTAATTCATCATTGAAATTCGATCGTATCGATCGTATTTGTTACACTTATAACTTTTTAATGAAGCTATCTATGAATTGTTTCGTTATATAATATTTTAGTTTTCTTTTAACGTATGGAACACACTAGGAACGATGAAGTTTGAACGTTAAAGTTTATTACGCAAGACAGGAAAAGTAATTGAATCCCACGTAATTCAAAATAAAATAAGTGAGGAAACTGCAAAAGAATGCGAGTTTAATGGCGGTAAAGAAATCAAGGAGATAATATGAATTCGTCTTTTCCACGTTCATCGAGTTGAAAGCACCGGTAAATGACATCCTTTTACGATAATGATCCGCGAGGTTGACAAAAAATAGTATTCCCTATATGGCCAACACATACATATTAATAATACATATCCGAGGTAAAGGATGAAAGAAGAAGTATCGTATGGATGAGTGACATAATTGGCCAGACGATGGAATGACAGTGACGGGAGAGCACACACGTCAGCTGTTCATCAGAAACTCATTAAGAATGCACGATACGCAACTGAAAACCGTTCAGTCAATTACTCGCACGATCTAATTAATTATCATAGAAATTTATACGTTTTCTCGTTAAATTAAAAATTTATTAACTACGTAATTTTTTGTTTCTTTTTTACTTCGGAAATTTAACAAATCATTTAATAAGCCATATGGAAAATGTAAGATAAAAATTTAATGACACGTAGTAGAGTCTCCATTATTCGAAAGTTGTACTATCTATCAACGTTCTATCATCTGAACAGAATATTTATTAATAATAAATTGACAGGCGGCACAAGTCCAAAATTGAAAAAAAAAATGAATTTACCATAGGAATAGTTAAAAAGTACTTATTTCATTTACCAATTTAATTTGCGTATATATTGTTTTATATTGATAAAAAATAAGAGTCTATTTTTAAATTGTAAATAAATAATGGCACTTGATTATATACTTGTTACCTTACCATTGTAGATTTCTTTCAAGTTATGTTATCACAATTACTACTCTTTTATTTTATTCCCTTGCAATAAACAGTTGCAACTAATTCCAATTTTAATAACATTAAGAAACGGGACTTAATCGACTTGTTAACTAAGAAATGTCCTAATTAAGAAATGTCCTTGCTCGTATTAAACAATTTATCATATTTATACATATTTGTTATACATATTTTTATAGTTTACTACATATGTATGTATGTTTATATTCACATTCATATTTATATTTCTATTATATTTTTATCATATTTATTATATGTTTATTACACATATTATATTTATATTATATATATGTTATTATATATTTTGATGTGTTTTTCATAATAATTGCATAAAGAATTTGAAACAGAACATGAAACATTTCACTAAAAAGCAATAAAATATAAAAAATTGTGTTTAATTCCACGATATATCAACGAAAATATTATAAATTTTTCATTTCTCCATAAACTAAGACAGCAAACGAAAATAATGAGGATGTGTCTTCTTACGCCGAAGCATTCAAGTAATTCAAGGCATTTAGAAAAGAATTTCGATGGTTTGAAATACAAGAAGAATGCAACTCTAGTAGAATTATTTTTGTTGAGAGAGTTAGGTAAACCATTAAATACTTACATGCAATTTAACGTCAAAAAAGTGGTTGTTCTATTATTTTTATACCTCTTATATTCGTTAAGATATAGGAGGCTTTGCAGTGTTTCTCAATCTATGAGCCATCATTTAATCTAAGTCTTTAAATTTTCATTAAATTTTTAATAAGACATGAATTTCAATAATAGTTGTTACCAAAACACAAATTCAGAGATCGACTTATCATAAAACAAACAAGTCATTAAATATTGAATATCATTTTGTTCTAAAAGCTTTTAATAAATATAATTCAGACTATTATAATAACTTTTTATAATTTTGAAACTGCTTATTTATCTCTCGAGTTTTTATATTTCAATCTTACATTTATTTTAGCAAACAGAAATGATGTAACACACGACTTAACTAAGAAATTATGCGTACTAGATAATAAGAAATTCTTTCATTTATACCAGAGACGTTTCTTAATATTAGGGAAATGTAAATGGGTCGAAAATGACTGAAAGAACGCAATAAGATTAAAATTATTAATTTCACACTTTCTCGTAGTTATTAAATGTAAATAATAAAAATTGAAATTCAAATATTTTTTATAAAATGAGATTTACCCGAATCGTTGTCAGTAGAAATATATATTGCTTGTATTTCACTTTCCACATGTAAAAGTTATTGCAAAATACACACTTATTTTTATTTATTTATATAATATACAGTGACTTCAGTCTGTCAAATTCATAAAAGTCATTAAAACTTATTTTATTTTATTACGTTATCAAACTTTATTACATTTAAAAATTTATTTCACTTTATTTCATTATCAAAATTATATTATAAAATTGATTTTATTTCACTATACTATAAATACCTGGGCCGTGATACCATTATAGAAAAGTGATTTCTCCGTGTGGCATGAAGATTGAGAAATGCTGCTCTACTACCAAAAGTAGTATTTATTATATGTAATAAGCATATAATAAATATTAGTACTACCCCATTGTATAAAAACTAAATGAAACGTTATAAATCTTATAAAGTTACCCGTTCGGTCTATCAGGATAGCTCTCCTGTTCTGGCATTCTCGATGTTCTAAAATTATCTTGATCCCCCTCTGTCGGTACTCGTTGTCGTTGTTGCGGCAACGACGGCGGGAATCTCATTTGTTGCTGTTGCCGTGGTTGCGTTCTTCTAAAATCTTGATTGTAATTCGCGTATCGATTGTCCTGCGTAGACGAGAAGGACGATTGCTCGGCGAACGCGTTTGAGTTTCTCTGTCGGTTGAAGGTCGATTGACGTTGCCTTTGTTGTTGCTGTTGTTGGTAGGCAGCAGGTGGTATATACGGTTCGTTCAGGAAAGATTCCTGATCGTTAAAATTTGGAGCGGGCGCAGGCGGAAGTACAGCGTTGAGGCGAAGGTTGTTCGCTGTCGATTGTCCTCCGTTTTGTCCACCGTAGAAGAATGGTGTAGGCGTTGCCGACTGATACGGCAAGGTGAAGTTGACCAGTGACATTTTTATTTTTCTTCTGCAAACAGACACGAAGAAATTCTTTCGATCGGTTTCGAAGAATATTTTGCTCTTGTTTCAAGTCGCCAGATTGCTCTGACACTTTTTTCTTTTTTTCTTTTTTTTTGTACAACACGCAAATTGGAAATTTGAATCTGTCATTGCTACTTTATTGGTATGCGCATACATATCTAGTTGCTATAATATTTATTTGTGGAAAAAAAAATGGTAATGATAAATAAATAATGAAATAATATTTCTACAATATTAAAAATCATCACGCCTATTTAACACGTGTATTTTATTTACTTTCAATGTTAAATTAATACTTTTCGTGAATAAAAATTGGAAAAAATAATTTTTTTTTTCCAATTTTTAACATTCTATGTACGAAAAGCACATGAGCATGCATGAAACGACTGAAGTTTCGATACAAAAAAACCGTATTATTATTCTATTGGTACGTAGTCACTGCAATATTTATTTACAAAAAGTATTATTTCTATAATGTAGAAACATACACGTGAAAAATAAGGCACACACATGCATTTTGTTCATTATACTAAAATTAATATATTTTGTAAATGAAATTCAAGGAAAATGATTGTTTCTAACATTTTCAATACTATATGTAAAATACTTTAAAACAAAGAAAAAAAAAAGTGTATAAGCAACTAAAATTTCGAGTCAAAAAATCACATTGTTACTTTATTGATATGCATTCAATACAATATTTATTTATGAAGAATAAGTATTATCCCTATAACATTACACACGAGAAATAACACGTTATTTATTTTATTTATTTTAGTAAAATTCTTGTAAATGATATTTGAGAAAAATAATTATTGAATAATTCTGTTGATATTATATGTTAAAAGGAATTGAGAGCAAAAAATAATATTAAACAATAATATTATAATAATATCATTATTTTTTATTAAAATAATAATACTAAATATATACGTAATTTCGACTTACCGTGAAATAAGAACGTCACTTCAGAAGGAAATAGAGAAGCACGTCCTCCGGTTGTCAATTTTCTTTTTCAAACTCTCAGCTCCGACGACCGTGATTTTGATCGTGTAGAAAATCACATTTTATTGCCATAAACTTCATGATTAGTCAGTAAAGAAAAATTGAAGAACTATTTTAGAACTACGTTAATTATTCGAGCAATTTCAACTTTTTTCACAAGTGTTTTTTCAACATAAATCTTTTTCAAACACGTTTAAATTTCACTGACGTATTTTCACCGAAGTACTGTTTCCGTTTTATAAACTGTAGCAACATACTCGATATTCGAAACGTCCGCTAATTGTTTGGAATTTCGATTATTCAAAGTTTTCCAGATAGCACGACTAAGATTACTCGTCGAAGATTAATGACTTCTATCTTCCCCTATTCTTCTCGCGTAATGCTTTCGTAGACATGAGATCGACCTGAAATGATAAAGAAAAGTAAATATCTCACGGATATGTCGCTGACCGAGGCATTAATCATTATTAAAAATATAAGTCTATGACATTAAATTTAATGAGATTTAAGTACTATGAGATTTATGCACTACTAAGTGATTAATTTTTATTTATTTGATCTCTTTATTTTTTTTTTAAGGGAAATGTACAATGATAAAACATTGCTTTAATCATTTTACAGCATATGAAAAATTAATACATAATTTAATAATAATGGGGCAGAAGTAATAGAATAATTGTCGAAATTAAATGCTATTAAGAAGTATAACTGTTTCATAAGAGAATATCATATTAATTTGCATTAATTACAAAAATATTATAGAGCAACTCAATATCATAAAGAATTAATTATTTGCCTTGCCTATGTCGGTTTGCCCACAAAGATATGCAATTTTAATGACTGTTGTAAAAATTTGTGTTCTTACAAGTAGCTTCAAGAAATTTATTTCAAGCAATAATATGTTTAGATATATTAAAAAATTGTTTTCAATCAATTACAATTGATTATTGATAATAAATACGTTTTCATTAAATGTACCGATAAATGATTTTTAATTTCTAAAAAAATATTTTGAAAGTTCATTAACGCTGCAGTGAGACATGATTGTTACGATTATACAGGGTGTCTCAAAACGAATAATATAAGTAAGAAAGTGAGTCGAAAAGAAAGAATAAAATTTTTTCATTAAAGTCTCTGTATTCGAAAAAATCGAGTTTCAGGTATACTTGAATTTAGTGACAGAGTGAATTTAGTTTATTAGACTTGAATTTAGTGATAATATTTAGTTTACTAGACGAAAATGTGACAGAAAAGAATAATTAACAAGAAATCATTCTACCTGTAAAGATAAGTAAATATAGAATAAAATTTTTTCGTTCTAGAGAAACTGAAATTTAAAATTTATCAAATACACCTGTAAAGCAATTCAAAATCTGTTCAAAATTTATTTTCTTAAAAATGACGCCTTAAACAACAAAATTTTATTCTTTACAACATTTTTCATTTATTTCATCATAGAATTTCTTTGTACCGATTATCGCGTTTGTTCAGTATAATATTTGATAAATTTTTAAACTCGATTTTCTCGATAACAAGAGCTTTAATGAAAAAATTTTATTCTTTCTTTTCAACTCATTTTTTCATGTAATATCACTCTTTATTCGGTTATACCACTTATCCTGAAACGCCTTGTACTGATAAAGAAACAAATTTAAAAATATTAGAAAAATATAAATAATAAAATATAGAAATATGTAAGAATAGAAAAATTAAACAATCCATTGTGTGCATCAATAAATATGTATGAATATTCAGTAAGACCATGTTTAACACTTATTATACACTTAAAATAACTTTATATTAAGTTCTCTATAAATTAAAAACGTTTTTTCGAACATTTATAAAAACGTTTTTTCGAACAATTTTTAATGTTCCATTAACTTGTATGTAAAGTAGTGAAAAGTCACTAGAAATAAAGAAAATATATAAACTTTTATTTCAAATTTTTTAAAAAGAAACGTGAACGTGTCGAAAAACAAAAAATTGATCATTAATTATCATTTAGAATATACAGTATTTAAATTTTCAAATTAAGCAATAAAAATACAGTCAGATTTTTACAAATTATGTAAATATTAATTTAATACAATTATAACTAACATAATAATTATATTATAAATATCGATACAACATAATTATAATTATTATTAATTATTACAATATAATAACATTTAAAGTTAAAATGATGATATAACAGCATAAAAATTTATTTATTTACATAATATCTGTACTACATTCTTTAAATAATTTGTAAAACAAGATATAATTTCATAAACAAGACCATAAGATTTTAAGCAATTCTACCCATGTTCATGAAAACTTGAAAACACGTTCACTGATTTCTTTACAAAACTATGATTATGTGTTTACTTCTGAGACTCAATATGTAAATGAAATAATATTCACTAAAATTATATTATTCAATCGTACTATTGCAAATTATATTTTTCTATAGATTTCTTACATAAATCTAATTTTATTTAACTTCTAATTAAAGCTTTTCATTTAAATTCGAATTAAAATTTTAAATTTCATTTATAAATTCTACATTATAAATTATGTTTGTCGATTATAAAAAATTTTAATACCAAAGATACTTAAATGCTATTTTTTGTTATAATTAAATACTACATTTTATTATATTTGTCAATAATATTTGAATATTGTAAACTTTTTAATTATAATATTGTCATAAAATATAAATTATAAGTTACATTTATTTATTAATTTAGGAAACGTATTTTTATTGTACTTTTGATATCTATATATCAAAACGTACATAAATCTTCGTATATTGTATATTTATATATAAATATACAATGTGTTCGATGTTACGATATGTAAAAATGTATTTTATTTATATAAAAAATAGATACAATTTCTTCACAAAATATTCCATTCATTTAATTTATGCAAAGAATTTTAACATTCATATTGTTCTTTTTAATATATTATAAATAAATAGTACGCAAAACATGTATCACGCAGTGATGAATTACAAAAGTACAACATTATAGATAGAAAATTTATACAATTAAATAATTTTCGATAAACTCGTTTAATATTATTTTTAAAAAAAATTGTAAATTATATTCACAATTTAAATAAATATTATTAACAGATTTAAAAAATGATTAAAAGAATGAATACAGAAAATATTCATATACTCGACAAAAAATATCAATATTGGAGATTCTCATATTTTTAAATAATAATCTGCCTCGACTCAAAGGCATGAAATCTTTATTTTCATAGTGTTGAGTTCCTTTTTTCAAAGATACATTTACATTATAAAAAGGATAAATGAAAACACTTTTTTCTAGAAAATTTTACAAATTCAAACGTCCTCGTGGATGCGGAAAAATTTCTCTTCACAACTAAATCCACCACAATAAAGATTAAAATTTCTATTCTACAGCAATTTCTTAAAATTTCTTGCACAATCTTTTTCCACAAAGTTATAAGAGTTTAAAACATTGATATTTTCCTTGTATGGGAATACTTTTTTGTATCATCTATATCAATTACAAAATGTGTATCTACAATTGGCAAATATTATTAGACAAAGCATTAAACAAATTGTCGAATGAAGTGCAAAGTGTAATGAAAGCACAACGGATAAATTAGAAATGCGTTTTCAAAATACAGTTTCTATTCGAAATTATCTCTGTCATGAAAAAAAAAAAAAAAAAAAAAAATGTAGCAGATAGTTGCATACCTGTTTAAAAATATGTTTATTTCAAATGTACAGTGTCGGCTAACGAAACGGCTGTCGAATTGTTTCTTTACGAAAGAAAATTATGCGAACGCGTCGGCGTATGCGTGGCCACACAATTATTCACGCGAGAATAGCATTTGCGCGCGTGTATCACGTGCCTTCCGAAGATGCTACGAAACGCGAAAGCGATAACGGCTCTGTTGATTTACCGGCGAACTGATAAAATTCGTCGAACAAGTTTGTTCTTTCGTCACTTTCGCCCATCGGATCACTTTCTTCGAAATCAGGTATGCAAACTGTGCTTTCACCAAAAATAAATGTATGTCGATATTCCTATCCCGCTTCTTTTTTTTCTTTTCTTCTTCCTTTTTTAACGAATAGCTTTGCTTTCCATTTTTTCGCTACGTAGCTTCACTATTATTTTCGAGCCATGTCAGTGATTAAGTATTAAACGCTGTAATAATTACATTAGCCAGCAACGTATAATGACTCTTCCGCTACGTCAGCGATTAATTAAATATTTTCTATTAATTATAGTTCTGACGTGATTGCAAAAAAGCTGGTTTCCCCGAAAGCAAAATGTTTTCAGGCTGTTGCCAATTTGAAATGTTCGACGATTCAAGAGTATATTCGAGTTAAGTTGGCACGTGGATTGGCGCATTTGTTCACGATGTTTGTAAATGTTCTCATTAATTTTTTCCACATTCGAAAGATTCGTTGATTGAAAAGACAAACGCTACTCGAGAAGACTGTGGATAAAGTTGAAGTACATGTATGCTTTTATACATTAATTCTCAAAAAGCATCATTAGGTCACAGACGACTAAAGTAATTTATAGCAGATTACTAAAATTTATCTTACTCTGTATTTTACATTCTCCGTAATTAAGATTGTGTATAATAATAAAAGATTAGTAATGAAATTGGATTAAATTAAATTAAAATTGTTGAACTAATTTAAGTTTCAAATTTTTATGTTTGTTAGCAGTCTAATAATATCAAATAAGAGTTAAAATATATAATATTGCTATGATCGTAATGAGAGTATATAATAGATTTTTCTAAATAAATACGCGTCGTCTCATGAATTTATTTTTTGTATGCCAAATAAAAAATGCCACTACACAATAGTCGACTGGTACCATTATCGAATTTCACCAGAAGGATGATAATTTAAAGACCGACAACTTAATTTTAGAATTTTCAATTTTATTTAATTTCGTCACTAATCTTTATTAAAATCATTATTAGAGAATTTAAAGTACGAAATAAAATCAAATGCTCTTGTTATTAATCTGACATACATACAATTCAATAATACTATTTGAAAGTTATAGCTTCCATAAAACTACTAATCATATTATTCGGCATCTTGAAATAAATTTTTCAAATCCTAGAATTTTATTAAAGTGCGAAACTCGTACCAGCGAAACAAACAAACAAAGTACAAGCAATAACAAAATACAATAGATTAGTTTATTATAAAAAAATACAATAGATAAGTTTTTATTTAGATATATAAAAATCATTCAGATCTTCAAGAATGCTCCGTTTATATATCTACCAAATATCTATGAAAAATTAAGAATTGATCATTTCGACCAGTATTGGTATTAATCTCTTGCCACGCACGTCGAGAATCTTTTGTCCCAAATTGCAATATTGTCTCAGTTTTAAATATATTTAAATGTAACCCAGGCAAAACAAGTGATAAGTTTGTTACTTCTCAATGATTTCTATCCAGTGATATACCGACTAGTTCGAAAGAAAAAGAATTAGCGACGAATTATTGTACGCGGTTCGGTCACTCGTTATGGTCCGCGTTGCCAGTTGCCAGCGCGACGGGGTTAATTATAAATTAAATTATTCGTCCTTATCCCTTAAGATATTTCGCCAAGAAGAATTTGACAGAAAACTTACCCAATTCAATCCGTTTCAAAGCTTTCGAGTAGCTTGATGAATTTAAAACGGAGACACGATCGAGACACGCACCGAAACAAAAAAATCTCCGTCGGTTGCTTTCACTTTCGATAATCGAAACGATTTTCCAACGAAAAGCAGAAGCTGAAAGCAGAACAAGAGGCGAGATGCAAGCACGATTAATTCACAACAGGAAAATGAAACGGGACATCGACGAAAATGAAATACTATTCCGCGAGATGCATTCGCTGAGAACGAGACACGTGCTTGCTCGTGCGCGAAACACGAGCAGCTCGTCGAAAATCGCCGAGAGGCATGCGTGACACCGCGCGAAACGCTACGTTGGCGAGCGACAACTGAAAGAGAAGCGTTTTAACCAACTCTACACAGAATGGGGATAAAGAGAGGTGTCCCTCGATCATGAAGAGTAGCACAGCCTGCAAGTTCTCTCTCACTTTCCGCTCCTTGACAGTCCCTCTCTTCTGTCCTCCCTACCTTCGATCCCGATCGTTGCTTCACCTTCTTCTCGCACGAAGATCGTTTTTAATGGAGCATTTATTTGTTTTCATTCCTGCCGTTTTCTAGAAATATTACACACACGCTGACATTTCAAAAATGATCGTTTTCGATTGTCAGTTACCAGACTGCGAATATTTGTGCATTTTCAAATTTCTAATTGTATTACGTTGCGATTAAAGAAATGGAACAAGCAAAGTTTAATGCCTCAACCACGCACTTTTGTTACAACTTTTAAACTTTGGTGCGCATGAAGTTTCGTCACGATTCCTTATCATCTGTTGGTTCACAGATTTGGATTAACGCTGGAACTATCGATGATTAAAGTATAAAAAGTGTATCAGAGACATTAGAGCGCGACGAATAAAGAAGAAGTTTATAATAAGAAATGGAAACTTTTATTCATATATTTTTTTATAAGAAATCATTCGAATCTCTAAAAATGCAACATTGTAAATTTAGAAAATTATAAATTGATCATTATGTCCACTTTGACGAGAATTCTAGCGTTAACTAAAGAAAGCCAGCATTTTAATTATCCTTTTATCCCAAAAGAATGTGCGAAATAAAGGTCCATGTTATAATATTGCGTGTTTAATACTTCAGGTGCCAAATGTTTGTATTTGTAAACATATTTTGTTGAGTAAACTAAAGTATATAAATATAAATATAAATATAAATATAAATATAAATATAAATATAAATATAAATATAAATATAAATATAAATATAAATATATATATACATATTATCTATATGTTTATATATTATCTACAAAATAACACTTCATTAGTTAAACTTAATATATTTATAAGCAAATGCGAGTTTCTCCAAATCGTTCCTATTTGTGTAAATAAGATAGTCTGCCTGAAATAGAAGTAAGTTATGCAGGTAAGTTATGCGTCTCCCAGAATTGAGAAACGTAATACAAAGTGTTAATCAAAACAACCTCTATCGAAACAATCATACTTTTTATCATCGATGATTGAAGATTTTGAATTAACTACAGAAAATCGACATCTTAATTATTCTTGTATCCTAAAAGAAAAGAAAAAGAAAAATCCTCATTCCAATGACATCTGTATTACTATATATATATTAAATTAATAATCAACAATTTTCATACGATTTAGTCTACTTTTCCTAAAATTAACTAATCTTCTATTATTCTGGATTTATAAGAATTATCGATTTTAGAATTTAAGAAATTTTGGAACAAAACTGTTGACTTTTTAATCATTTGCGTATCAGGAAAGATTTTCTGGCTATAAATATAAATTTAAGTTTTCAATTTTTGTGACAGTTGGAGTTATATCAGAAAATTAAATGAATGTTCATGATGACCAATAATGAAATTCCTGCTAGGCATAAATTTTGTTAACACTGTATGTGGTTTGTAGCAATTTTCCTGTTTCTTAATATGATTAGTAGCTGACTATAAAATTTAATAAACTGACTTCTCAAACTTCAATTTAAAATGTCATATTTCATATGCATGTCAATTTGATACTAAAATTTAATTCATAACTCATATTGATTGAACTACACGTACAAATATATCACATGGTAAATTAAAAAATCAATGCATTTCTGCCTATTTTATTTTAATTTAATTTTATAATACTATACATTCGTTAATTATTTCCCTTTTAATAATTCTAATTCCCATTGAATTATTAATTATTTACCAATTATTTAAAATTTTATTAAATACTATGTACATTGTTTTTACAATATTTTTACAATTATGCATGGTCCATGGTCCAAATAATATTAATATAAATTTAAAACGAAAGTTAAAAGTATATACCTGTAATAAAGCATATTGTTTTCGTAATATTAATGTACATAAAAATTATTATTATAAATACGCAAGATAATACATTTGACAAGAAAATTAATGTTGACTTTACTGAAAAATAGAGAAAGTCACTGATATTATTATAATTGTAACGATCTGTATAAGTATGATATATTTAAATACACATAGGTTGATAAATCTGTTATTAGAATACAATTTTATAAGGACTGTCCATTATCTATAACACATTAAAAATAATTGCTATTAAACAATTTTAATTGTTCAAAAATATACGTGTAAATGTAGAATGCTGAATTAAAAGAAATCTTATGAAAATTCAATGAATAATTCATAAGAGTAAAATGATGAAGTTTTCGGAAACACATACAGAAAAACAAAAGCTATCGTCGACCACTCTATATAATTACAGTAAATATATACGTGTAAAGCGTTCGAATCACGCCCGCTAACGATGGTTAAAAGTATCGTAATCGGTCTGTTTCAAACTTGCTCCCTTTCCCACTACGTACAATACATACACTCTCTTACTTGCATCTAATCTCGCAATTCAATCTCACGGGGTGTGTTGTAACTACGCAACGCGAGGAAAGATTCGCGGTGGCTAGATGAAGAGACGAAACAGCAGAAAGAAAGCTGGTGGAGAAGGAAGATACGTGCTACGTGCTACAAGATTGAACCGTATCGCAACGAGCAATTATTACAACCATATCACGTGCCTACCATCGTCTCGACCGTCTTCTTTCATCCACGTGTCTCTTCTCTTTCGAGAGACATTTTTATGAGAGATTCTCGAGTACCTTCTCCGCTCAAGTACCCGCTTAGATGCGCCGTGCTCCAGAACCTTTCATTTCTTTACACGTGGAACGATATAACTGTATCGGGATCTCTGAGAGGCCCACCTACGTTCACCTTCTGCACGCGCGTCAATTCACTGATGCTAAATGCTTGTCCCTAGTTTCAAGGAACCGCATATTCCAACATTTATTCACGTCTCAGGCATTTTTTAAATTTAAACGCGTAATGCGAATACACATTCGAGGAGATGTTTAATCTTTAATAACTTCAAGACTCATTCTGTGGTATTTTCGCTCGGCAGATAATACTTGGAAGATCGATTTGACAACGAGATCGTTCGAGAAAGAATAATCAATAATCGAAATTTGAAAATTGAATTAACGACCTCTGTAAATTTCATCGAAGTCGATGTGAAATAGAAAGAAAGAAGTACATACTTTGTAACATTTTGTAACTATGCAGGAGCACAGTGTGTTGCGCGTTATCTTGGAATGTGGCAAATGTAATTCGAGATTTCTATTTAATTAATACTAAATATTTTCTTTCGACATTCCAATGATCAGCACATGTTCAATGATTCCAATGATCAGCACACGTTCAATGATTCCAATGATCGACACATGTTTTTTTAATCTAGTAAAATATATATTCATCTGAGATAAAATATTTAGTTAAATAAGATAATATATTTGATTCACGTTAGACTCTGGGTTTTTATACAAATCCCTATTTCTGAAAATGTAATGTAAAATTACAATATAATATTTATTTTATATAATACAATATAAAAATTGTTTTATAGAGAACATTCATTTTATAAGAGTATAAAAATATTAGAAAACGTGCAAAATATTTTCAATATTTTATAAAACAAAAATATACCGAAATTATTTTTTGTATATTTAAATATACTAAAATATTTTCAATATTTTATACATGTTTACATTCTGTACATTTTTGCACATTCAAATTTTCCATGAATGTATAACAATCCGCAATCTATTCATCAATATCAAATTTTTGAAATACATATATATATTATTTAAATAATAATATTTAAGTTTGATATCAACTATACTGTTTTATTTTCATGGAATCGTGCAATTTTAAGAAAGAAAGATTCAAATTTTCACATTAGAATTCAAAAATATCTGTGACAAATAAATGAACGAAGAAACAACAAAAAATACTTTCTTGGATAATACAATCAGCAAGAATAGTAGCATCCAGGAATTAAAGACGTAAAAGTGTACATCACATATACATTTAATTACAAATCTCTAAATGAAACGAAATACACCCGAAGTATAACTATTTTGCACACAATATTTAATTTTTTTTCTATTAATCTTTGTAAATTACATATCATTTTCGTGACACTTATATCTAGGGTCAGGTAGAACACGGAACACCTAAATATTTCTGTTATTCTGTTAATTCTGTTGAACATAGAAAAAAAATGTGAAAAAAGAAAGTAATACTGTTGAAGGGTGAAAATATAGTCACGCCATCATCGTGATGAAGGCCTTTTGAAATCATTTCTATTATTATTCATATCACGGGAATTAATATAAAAACTGCTTTCAAATGAAATACTGAGAACTCTTTCGTTCAAGAAACTCTAAAATGAAAAACATTGTGCGAATTCCAGAAAGATATTATTTAATAAAACATGATACATCGTTAACACTAAACATTGAACCTATTTCATATATTTTCTATTATATCTGTCGAATTAACGGCTTGACTAATTTAACAAAACGTTTTATAGAGATTTTACATTGTCAACATTTTTAATCTTTTTGATATTTAAATAATTAACGAACAAAAATAACTTTTATTAACGCAGCAGGTGATTAACGTATGAACTTAAATTTAAATAAAAAATGTAATTTACTAATAAGCTGTTATCGAAATACCATACTTTGGAATTAATTAAATGATGAGATGAAACGCAAATGTAAAACGAATATTTTATGTAATAAAGTGGAAAGTTTCAAAGAAATGCAACATAAAATTCAAAAATATATAACAATTTATGACATAAAAATATATTTCAGAAAAATATAAGAAAATTCTGACGAAAGATTTTGTGTTGTTATATATTTTTTATAAATGGAATGAACTATGAGATAAACTCGTAATATTGATGGATTTTGATGTATTTACGTAACTCATATACAGAATTTCGAAATAAAAATGGTTGGTGGAATTTTGAGATGGAATTATCTCTCGATTAAAACGA